GGGGGCCCCCACGGCTCCGGGGGGGGGGGGGGGGCCCCCCATCGGGCCTCGGTTCCTCCATATCCCCGGCCTGCCCGTCGCGTTGCCCGGCGACGCCGCGCGCCCGCCCGAAGGATACTGACAGCGAAGACGTTGATCCCGTCCACCGCGTATTTGTAGTAATAGGCATTGACGGCGTGGTAGCAGCACAGGATGACTTCAGCCTCCAGTGGCACCTCTGTCTGAGGGGAGAGAGGCCAGGCTTTAGGCTTGCCGCCAACCGGACGCCAGCCTGGCTATTCCAGGCAGGGCCGGGCCTGGCATCATTTCCCCGGCTTCCTCGTGGCCCTGCGGCTCTCCCGAAGGAGGGGAGGGTGTTCGGACAAGGGGAAACGCTGATGGAGTCACTGGGCTTGGACACTCCCCTCTGCCCTTCTCTGGGGATGGAGGGTCCTTTAACGAGGGTCTTAGGGCAGGTTTGTCTGGAGGTCCAGGCTAGTCGCTTTGGATCGGCCCGGCCTGCTCTGCAGCCAGGAAGGAGACGGACGAGGAGAGCCCCCATTCCGTCCTCCCGGTCCAGCTGCCCCCCTGCCGGTCACGGGTGGGAAAGGTTACGGGCCGCTCCCTCTAGACGCCGCCCTCCGCCGCCTCCCCAGGGGCAGGGCCCCAGCACCAACCTTCCTCATCCGCTGGACGTGCACGTGCTCCGGGGGCAGGAGCAGGACGGTGGTGAGGGTGCGGGCGTTCATCTTGGCAATGGGGATGATGAACACCAAGAGCCAGGCGACGAAGCAGACCAGGCTGTGGGCGAGCGTGAGGACCGGGTAGCCCAGCAGGAGCCAGAGGTAAGTGTTCACACGCCGCTGAGAGGGGAGGAAGAGCAAAGCAGGGACTGCGTGAGCAGCCACGGAGACGCTTCCAGACCATGGAAGCTCAGACCATGACCCCCGGGCCTCCGTCACAGGGACTGTACGCTTGAAGGACACCTACGGGGGCCCTGTGGATCCCTCCTCTGGCCCAGGGATGCAGAAGCCAGACAGGTGTCCCTGCTGGCGCTGTCCCACGCCGAGAGGGACGGCTATAGACCCAGCTGCGAGCCAAGCCACAGCTGATCCAGCACAAGAGGTTCCCCCTCCTCGGGGGTCACTAGCCCTCGGCAGGGCCCTACTGTAGCGCTAGGCTGGGTCAGGGCCCTGCGTTAGAGCAGAGAGGACCCTGCAATCTTCACTGCCATGGTAACCACGGCCAGGGCCGCATTATGACTTCCGTGGGCCCCTTCCTCCATAAAAAAAAAATATATATTAAAAAATTTTTGATATAACTTTAAATACTTCAACTTTTTCCCCCCTGTTTTAGGCAAAGTTGAATAGATTTTCATGGGCGCTAAAAGATTTTTAAAATCAGAAGGAAAAAAAAATGAAATTAAAACATTTTTGTGGGCCCCTATAAGTATCGTGGGCCCTAGGCACTGTGCCTACTGGATTAGTCGGCCCTGAGCGGCACTAGGTACCTGCGCGGGGGCATTGCCAACAAGAGGAAGGGGAAGGCAGCGCCCACTGGCCCCTCTGCGGAGGGGAGTCCAACGCAGACCCCTCGCGGGCGAGAGCCGGGGAGGTGCCTCAACGTTCAGTCCCAGTGGAGCTGGCTGGGGCCAGGCTGTCGTAGCCCATCCCCTGCCTCCCGGGGAAGGGGCCTTACCCAGTGCGTGGCCTCAGCGCGGCTGCCAGGGGCCGGCGGGGCGCCGGGGCCCGTCTCGTGGTGGATGAGCAGCGGGGTGCTCTCCTTCGCCTCGTTCACCTCCGAGATGACCTCACACTTGCTGAACTTGATGCTGCACTTCCGAGAGCAGCCTCTGGTCTGGGAGAGGGGAGAGCACGTCTGAGGGGCAGAGAGTCGGGAGGACATCGGAGGACTCCTCCCCCGCCCCCGCCAGGCCGAGACTCAGCCAGGAGAGTAGTTTACTTCCACAGAGGCTGGTGCTGCCTCGCTGCAGGGCCAAGGCCAACGTGGCCCCTCTGGCTTTGCACCAACCATTTTACACTAGCCCTCGGCAGCTCTAGGCTGGCTCAGGGCCTGGTGCTACAGCAGAGGCCTGCACCTTTTGCTGGGGAGCAGGGGACCCTGCGATCATTGCTACCATGGTAACAGCCGCCCTGAGCTGCATTAGGTACGGATGCGGGATCTTTCCCATCACCTGGGCAGCCCAGCCAGCTCCCTCCCCCCCACCGCTAGAGGGATGGGGCAGGGAAGAGGCCATGCTCATGCAGTTGGTGCGCCAGTTGGCTGGGGGGCGCCCCCGTCCAGCAGGGGAGCAGGGGACCCTGCGATCATTGCTACCATGGTAACAGCCGCCCTGAGCTGCATTAGGTACGGATGCGGGATCTTTCCCATCACCTGGGCAGCCCAGCCAGCTCCCTCCCCCCCACCGCTAGAGGGATGGGGCAGGGAAGAGGCCATGCTCATGCAGTTGGTGCGCCAGTTGGCTGGGGGGCGCCCCCGTCCAGCACTGGGCACGGACCCTGCCACAGCGCCCGCCCTTTTCCCCCCCGCCATGCCCCACTACCTTCTGAATCACTTTGCCAAACGGCCAGAGGAAATACCCAGCGAGGTTCCAGCACAGCTTCCCTGCGGGCAGAAGAGAAACGTCACCTGCCGGGCTCGAACCGGGCTCCCTGGGATAATTCCCTCAGAATCCTTTGGCTCTCTGCTCAGGAGACAGACTCCCTCCCGCCCAGGGAACCCCAGGGCCCCCAGCAGCCTTTAGGTCAGTGGTTCTACCTACCGAGAAGGGAGGGGGAGACGAGGCAGCCAATGGAAATGAAGAATTACCCAAGACGACCTTCCTGTCTATAACCTCCCATGTTGCACTAAACGGCCTGGTCCTTGTGGCAGGGCCCTTCCTGCTTCTCACACATTTCTGGGGCCTTTGAGGAAAGCAAATCAAGTCCCAGCGGAGGGCAGCCCCTGGTCAAGTTCTCCTGCCCGGCAGGGAGGAAACGCCCTTTTACAGCGGGGAAGAAGAGCAGCGTCCAGCAATTTCGCTTCACCCCCCACGATGAGCCTGGTCACAGGCCTGGGAGTAGAACCCAAGTGTCCTCATGTCAGAGCCATCAGCAGGGTCTGAAGGCAGGATTGGGGGAACAGGATTTTTTTGGGGGGGGGGAAGCAGTCTCATTGCTGCAGGGCGGTGAAATCTGTCCCCTGGATGTGTTACATAGGCAGCAAATGAACTTGCTGCAAAACTCCTATGTCTCCACTGGAGAGGAACAGATCTTGGAAGAGGGGCATGCTGCCTGGAGTGTGGAGTTAGCTGTAGGCAGCACACAGGAAATCTTTCACCAAGACAAGGCTCAGGCCAGCAGGATCAGCTAGGCTGGCCTCCTGCACTCCGCAGGCCAGATTTCATCTTACAATTCCCACATCAAGCCCAAGAACTTGCACTTGGATTGAAGTGTCTTTCAGTGGGACTGTAGCGATGGAGAATTTACTACATCCCAACAATCTGTTACCCCCTGTTAATTGCTCAAGGGCTGCGAGTTCTCCATCACCTGAATCTAAGTTACTGGGTGTCTTGTGTTGCTCCCCAAGACCCTGTGTAGCTCCTGCATCCCTCCCACAGATGTGATCTAATGCTCTAAGGCAGTGGTTCCCCCTCACACACTTTATTTTTGAAAAACCCTCATCCCCCCCAGCAGCAAAACTTGTGAGCAAAAAAACCCAAAGGAAAAAACAGGGCAGCAAAACTTGATGGGAGGGGAGGCTGGGTTGCCTCACGCCCCCCCTGGAATTTCTTCATGCCCCCCAGTTTGGGAACCCATGCTCTAAGGGGAAGGAAGAATTAAATTTGCTAGGTTTGTACAGCAGCTAGCACACCAGGGCCCCCAGCTAATCTCCCAAGCACTAGGGTGCTACACTAAGGTAACAAGCTATAATATGACCAAGTGCCAGAAAACTCAGTTGGCCATCTAAGGGATTAACAAGCCAGCCCAGATTCCCAGCAGGGATCACGTCGTGTCCAGTGCACAGTGGTCCCTGGCTTTTAGGCCTACGATAACACGCCACAGTTCAAGAGTCGGCAGGACGCACCGTAGGGCGCTCCCAGGACCGTGAGGAACATCAGGGCAGAAACCAGGAGGTAGAGGAGGGAGAGCCACCATCCAAACAGCAGCAGGTAGAGGATGTTCCCGCAGGTGACGGTGGAACCTGGGAAAGAGAAGACACAAGGACGGAAGGAGTTCCCTGTGGGGAAGCGACGAGAGGCAAGTTGAGGATTGGTCCGGCTGCTTTGGGAATCATCACATCTACTTCACAAGGACAAAATTCTGCACCAGGAGTAGGGATGCCACAGACAGGGGCTGCAGCAGCCCTCTGCCTGGGGAGCTGCTCCAGCCCCTATAGGTTAACCAGAACCGGTAACCTCACCTGGTAAGGATGCAGCTTGCTGGTTAACCTTCCACATCCTGGGTAAGGAGCTGAATTAGTAGCCCCAGCAACAGCCCTGCTTACCCATTAAATAGCATCGAATTCTAGCACACTCGAACTGGAAGGGACCTCAAGAGGTGATCGAGTCCAGTCCCCTCCCCCATGGCACAACCCAGCACCGGCTAGACCATCCCTGACAGGTGTCTGTCTAACCTGCTCTTCAATATCTCCAGAGATGGGGATTCCACAACCTCCCTGGGCAATTTACTGCAGTGTTCAATCACAGTTAAAAAGTTTTTCTTAATGTCCAACCTAAACCTCCCTTGCTGCAGTTTAAACCCATTGCTTCTTGTCCGGTCATCAGAGGCCAAGATGAACAAGTTTTCCCCCCCCCCCTTGTGAGGCTCTTTTAGGTACTTGAAAACCACTATCATGTCCCCTCTGTCTTCTCTTTCCTAAAGAAGCCCAGTTTTCAGTCTTCCCTCATAGGTCATGTTTTCTAGAAATCATTCTTGTTGCTCTTCTCTGGACCTTCTCCAAATGTGTCTTGCAATGTGGTGCCCAGAACTGAACAATACTCCAGTTGAGGCCTAATCAGTGCAGAGTAGAGCAGAAGAACGACATCTCGGGTCTTGCTCACAACACTCCTGTTAATACCTCCCAGAATCACGTTTGCTTTTTTTGCAACAGCATCACACTGTTAACTCATTTAGCTTGTGGTCCACTATGACCCTTAGATCCCTTTCTGCAGGACTCCCCCCAGACAGTCGCTTCCCAATTCTGTATGTGTGAAACTGTTCCTTCCCAAGTGGAGCACTTTGTATTTGTCCTTAAGCTTCATCCTGTTTACCTCAGACCGTTTATCTAGTTTGTCCAGATCATTTTGAAGTATGACCCTACCCTCCAAAGCACTTGCAAACCCTCCCAGCTTGGTATCACCTGCAAAGTTAATAAGCATCCCCTCTGTGCCAATATCTAACTTGTTGATGAAGATATTGAACAGAGCTGGTCCCAAAGACAGGCAATATGTAGAGATAGGGCTGGGAATCCATAACTCAAGAGCCCTGCTAGGTGGTATGTAGAGATAGGGCTGGGAATCCATACCTCAAGAGCCCTGCTAGGTGTGGGGACGTGGCTAAGCCCCTCTGCAGAACGCAAGCACTCTTCAGTGGGTTTCTAGCCCATGTATCTGCAACGCCAACAGCTGGCAACTGGGACGTGAGGCAGTGCAGTCTTCCTGAGGCTGCAGACAGACTGCTCCAGTGCCTTTGCTGCTGCTCAGCTTTCCCCCAAGCTGCCCGGAATCAGGTCAGTCTGCTGCTATTCCAGAGCCCTTAAAGCCACCGTCGAGTTGATTTCGAGGTGGGAGGGAATAAGGAGGATTTTTGTGCCCCAAGGTGGAGAGAGGAGATAGAGCAGCTAAGATAAGAAAAGCGTCTCCAGCAATAGCACACAAGACAGGCCAGACTGAATCAGACCCAAGGGCCATCTAGCCCGATATCCTGTCTTCCTACAGCGGCCAATGCCAGGTGCTTCTGTTCCTTCCCTCAGGACAGGCAATAGCGATCCATCCCGTTGTCCACAACCAGGCGGTAGCCCACACACTAGGGACATTCAGAGCACAAGGCTCCATCTCCTGGCTGCGCGTGCCACAGGTTGAAAGCAGGCAGGCCTTGTATTTCCCACGCCCAGTAGCCACGGGCAACGAGGGGAGGAAACCCTTGTTAGGAGGCAGCAACAGCACCCCTTCTTCCCCTCGGTCATTGGAAACTTATGGGGGAGAGAACAGACGCATGGCAGGGACCTGAAGTTCTGCATATTGTGGCTGCCTGCTTACCATTGGTGTATTTCTTTGGCTAAGGAGCTTAGGCCCAGCTAGGAAGCACCGATTAGTTCTTCTGAGCCCCAAGGTACATCATGGGCAGCAGCCCCAACCCTCCTCCCCCAAAACCCCTGCTACTGTATTCCCACGAGAGAAGAGAAGTGGCCATCAGCCATCTCAGCAGAGAGGACCAGTACAGAATGGGCAAAGTAGCACCAGTGCTGCCAATTCTAGTTCATTAGAAGGAAAAAAAAAAAAAAAAAAAAAAAAAAAGAGAGAGAGAGAGACACACCAGGTTCACAGTTTGACTTCAGAAATGGGAACCACACAGGAGTGACGTAACAAGGACAGTCACAAGCTACAGGGATGCTGGTTTTATAGGCTACCATGAGAGAGGCTCAAATTAAGAGTATACCCCACATTTAAAAAACGCCCCCCACAAAACAAACAGCAAGAGCCAAAACACCACCATGGCTAAACAGAGTTAAGTAGTTAGAGGGAAAAGGCAGCCCTTTACAAACTGGAAATCAAATCCTACAGAGGAAAACAGGAAGTCAGTACTCTGGCAAGCCAAGTATAATTCGGCAAGCAAAAAAAAAAATTTTGAAGAGCAACAGGAAAAAAAGTTTTACGACATTAGAAGCGGGAAGCCTGCCAGACAGTCAGTGAGGCCCACTGGACCATCCAGGTGCTGAAGGAACACTCAGACAAGGCCCAATGCGGAGAAGCTAAATGGATTCTTTGCATCCATCTTCACTTCCTAGGATGCGAAGGAGATGCCCACCCCCTGCCATTCTTTTTAGGG